GGGGACAATTTGCATATTAGCCTTTTATTATATAGGATTACATAGGATGTGGCAAAAGAGGCTTTGCAGGTGTAGTTAAGTTGAGGATCTTCAGATGGGGAGAGTATCCTGGATTATCCAGGTGGGACCAATATAATCACAAGAGTTCTTATAAGACGGTGGTTCTCAACCTTGGCTGCACATTAGAATCACCTGGGAATCTTTTTAAAATCCTGATTTCTGGGCCTCATCCTCCGGAAATTCTGTTTCTTTGTTATGGGGTGGGGCCACAACATTAGTAACAAAGAAACAGAATTTCCGGAGGATGAGGCCCAGAAATCAGGATTTTAAAGAGATTCCCAGGTGATTCTAATGTGCAGCCAAGGTTGAGAACCACTGCCCTAGATAGAGGTTAGATAGGGAGATTTTCAAGTACCAAATCTGACAAGCTCAGGGGAGGGCAGCAGGGCAGGCACAAACTCAGAGTCCAAAAGTAACTGCTTCGGATGGTCTGAACATAAAAGTTCCTGACTAAAAGCAGGTCATGGAGAGTTTTCACTTCTTTGACACAAGTCAGTCGTTACCTAAATGAGCTGTCTTGTTCTCATACATGTAAGATAACATACCTTGGGATATCGGAGTTAATCCTTTTCCAGGCGTCTCAAGTTACACCCACCACCCCAGGGCAGAAGACCACACACCCCTCTTGTTATCTCCTTCCCTGCACACCATCTCTATGTGCTGAAAACGTTGATTGTTAACTATCCTGTACTCACCAGTATAAAGGAAGTACTTGTCTGTTTTATTCTTTATTCACTCTCAGAGATTTCCCTGCTTTGCTTTCTCCTGCGTCCCTCATCTGCCAACCCCCCTTTCATCTCCTTCTTTGATTGTAATGTATAAAATAAGCTGCAAAACTGCCATTCTCTGGAGCATTTTCTCAGTCCTTTGAGATTTTACTTCCTGACAATTGTCAGTTTGAGTCAAAGAAACCCTTGAAAATTCTCTACAGATCTGGACATTTCTTACCACACAAGTATTTGAAGGTAATTAACATCAGTCAGCCATCAATTGTCAATACTGGCAAGGTGTGTTTGAGTAAAGGGTAAACACATGGGTGGGATCATCAGGGGCAGCTGGAATCTCACCTCTCCATGAATCCAGTTATGACGATTGATTTCCAATATCCATTTTACTCCATATAATTAGCCAATGGAAATGTGACCCAATGTTTACTCCCCAAATGGGAAGGTTGTGGAGGGTAGCTCTGGGAAAGCTATTCTCTCTTCTAAGAGATACAGAGAAGATAATTCTTTTCCCTTTGCACGTTATGGTATCTGGGTGTGAGGCCTGGAAGTGCTGGACACACCTTTTGAGCATGAGTGGAGCCGGCATGACTGCGAGGCCAACAACTACAGCTTTGAGGATATCTTTGAAGCCAACCCTAGAATCCACTCAAACTCTGATCTTCCAACCATGAAACAAATTTTCCTTATTGTTTAAGCCAGCTTGAGGTCAGTAATTGAAAGCATCCTGCCTTAACTGGTTTGGCTCAGTGGCTAGAGCGTCAGCATGCGGACTGACAAGGGCATGTGCCTTGGTTGCGGGTGCATCCCCAGTGGGGGGTGTGCAGGGGGCAGCTGATCGATGTTTCTCTCTCATCCATGTTTCTAACTCTCTATCCCTCTCCCTTCCTTTCTGTAAAAAAATCAATAAAATATATTTTTTTAAAAATTGAAAGCATCCGGATTTATCCAGGCTGACTTCTTGGTAGAAAGTTGAGATTTTTAGATGTTTGATAATTCAAGGAGAAACAACCTAATATGCTAGCAAGGAGGGTTTCCAGACACTGAAGCAAGAGACTTGTCACAAGATTATGGAGAGAAAATCTTGACAATCCTGGGGAATCCTGAAAAACTTTAGAGTGGATTGAAAATTCATTTGGTCCTGGGGACATACATCAAGACTTTAGAGCAGCCGTGGGTAAACTACGGCCCGCGGGCCGGATCCGGCCTGTTTGAAATGAATAAAACTGGAAAAAAAAAAGACCGTACCCTTTTATGTAATGATGTTTACTTTGAATTTATATTAGTTCACACAAACACTCCATCCATGCTTTTGTTCCGGCCCTCCGGTCCAGTTTAAGAACCCATTGTGGCCCTCGAGTCAAAAAGTTTGCCCACCCCTGCTTTAGAGATATGTGGACGGGTCAGATAACCAGAGAAGATAACTACAGCATAAGCCTCAGGTGTGGGGTGGGGGAGGAAAAAGCTTGGCTAACTGTGTTTTCTCCAGGAGAAATGCCTCGGGTCTAATGTAGTGATGGAATCAGCAGTCCTCTCCAAGAACTCTGCAGCACACTCTGAGATTCTACTGTCTGGAATGTGTTGCCTGTGCTGAAACAAGTGGGAGTCCAAGGAATTTGGGAAACGTTTTCCGTGGTTTCATGCTCTAGTCCAGCCGTGGGCAAACTACAGCTCGCGGGCCGGATCCGGCCGTTTGAAATGAAAAAAACTAAAAAAAAAAAAAAAGACCGTACCCTTTTATGTAATGATGTTTACTTTGAATTTATATTAGTTCACACAAACACTCCATCCATGCTTTTGTTCCGGCCCTCCGGTCCAGTTTAAGAACCCATTGTGGCCCTCGAGTCAAAAAGTTTGCCCACCCCTGCTCTAGTCTATGTGTCCACATACCCCTCTGGCCACTCCTATCTCCTTTGTGAGCTTTGCTCCTTACTATAGTCCCTGAGGCTCTTACTTTGCACAGTTACTCCCATAGCTTCAGTTACCACCCAAATGCTGACCTCTGAATTTCTCTCTAACCTAGTTGTTTCCTGAGTAAACAGGCCTTCTCCATTAAAATTTCCCATAAGCCCATCAAACTTAACACATCTAAACCTCTCATTATAGCCACCTCTTTCAGCCTTTCTTACTTCTCTATTCAAAATGTCAGTGAGCACTGTAACTCTTCTGTTAACCAACCTACCCTGTAGTATTCCACGTAGGAAGGCTCCCTGGAGGAAGTGATGTCTGCCTCCTGCATTGGGTCTCCTTGGCATCTTAACTTTATTTGTTTACCATATGCTATCATTCCTAGCTCCATCCGTCTCCTCTACTAGACTATATAAGCTTTGCAAGACAATCTTGTTATACAGCTTTATGCACAGCTCCTAGCACATTACAGGCATTAAATATGAATGCGAATATATTCTTTATGCCCAGTACCTAACATATCTGAAAGGAAGATATTCTGCATGCACAGAAAGTATTTACTTGTTTCCTACCTGGGGGCTCTATCCAGAACCAAATTAAGAGGAAAAATTGAGAAGACAATTGCTTGCTTTTATTGTGTGGCCACACAGCATCTGTCCTTTGGGGAGTCATCATTAGTTGCTCATCAATCATCTACATAAAGCCAAGCATGGGCCTGATGGGGACCAAAAGTAATGAATAGGTGCAAGAAGAAATCATTTTAAAAAGTACATCCGGATCTAGGATCACATGCCACCTGGGCTGCTGAGGGAAGCCAGTCGGAGCAGTGCTCCTGGGCCAGTGTTCCCTGAAGGGGCCTTGCAGCACTTGGTTGTTTCACAAACAGGGTTGCAGAAAACAATGACGATGACAAAAACCAAACAGGGTTGCAGGAGCCCAGACAAGATTTTAGCAGAAGGCAGAACTCACCAGCCTCCCATGCAGCAAACTCTCTTGTTGGCCTGAAGGGCTAGAGTTGGAAGTGTATTCCTTAAAACGGGTTGCTCAACTCTCCCATGATGGGTCCCGATCAAAGGTAATGGCATTACCTAGGGTTGTAAGAAGTGTTAATTATAACCATGGAACTAAATGAACTCTCAAGAAAGTGTCATCAGAGAAGAGCAGTAGGAATGACTGGGTACAGGGGACAAGCTGCTATTAATGAGAAATAAGGACCATCTGAGAGAACATTGTCAGAGAATGGTGTCCCCGATTGGTCAGTTGCTTTAAATCCAACTGAAAGGCCAAGAGAACTAACAGCTTTCTAGTGAATCTAGTGAACCCTATGTAACAAGCCCTTTTACACTTTTATTCTCACGAAAACCTTCCCAGAAGTAAATTGTGTCCACTAAACCTTACGTGGAGATGGTACCTGGGACATCCTCCAATGCCAGACCTTTGAGAAATGTTCTCATTCCTCGTGCACTGACAGCGTTTCCTACAAGGACCAAGTTAAACCCTTCTAAGAGACTAACTCCTCTTACCTTAGCCAGCTTCTTGAGCTACTTAAGATCTTCAGTTTGCATTTTTGCCACCATTGTATTACCATCTCATGTGATTGTTCCCAGCTAAGATGTATCTGCACTGCAACATTCACCCTCAGCAGCTCAGGGTAACGTTCCTTCGCCCCTTTCAAGAGGATGTATTATGACACAGTGGCAAGTCTGGCCTCTTGTTATCAGACTTGATTCAGCTGTCAGCTTCCAGGTGTTGTCCAGGGAGCTTTGATGACAGTACCCAGAGGGCAGCTCCAACTTACCAACCCTTTGGCAGCTACTTAACCCTTCTAAGTCCATTTCCTATTCTGTAAATGGGGATACCAAGTGCCTATCACATTGGGTGATGATCGTCATAATGCATATAAAATACCTGTCAGTTTCCAGCACGTATGTACTCAATAGATGTCCAAAAACGCTAAGGCATTTTTATTACCTTCAACTCACTCTGGAATAATCTATAATAATAAAAGCGTAATATGCTAATTAGACCAGACGTCCTTCTGGATGAAGCTGGGCTTCCAGGCTGTGAGGGAAGCCGGTGCCGACAGCCAGGGGAAGGAAGGCCTACTCTTGCACGAATTTCGTGCATCGGGCCTCTAGTGTTAAAGTAGAAACATTAAAACTCTTACTGTATCTTGGACTTTATCCAAGTTGGCCGTCCTTAAAAAGTAACCCTCTTTGGCAGCACTCATCAAGCTTTCGCCCAAATCTGGGTTTCTCCGTTCAAAAGAGACAGCTGAAGGATGCTGCCCACTGGTCCTGCTGGAGAAGTAATGCACTTTTAACGAGGAAGTAAACACAGGGGGCTGGCTTTCTTTTACATCAAAGGTATCAAAACCCATGTAATTAAAGCTACTATCTTCTCTTCCAGTGGAAACTAACCAAACCATAATTTGTATTTGGAACTGTTTGGCCAAGGGAAATGGTCTGTCGTCAGGCCTGCAACTTCACTTTGGTAACATCAATGGCTCACATTGACTGAGCAGCCACTCTGTGCCTGGCACTGTGACAAGCACTTTTTGTTTAACTCATTAATGCCTTTTACAGAGAAAAAGTGAGCCACAGAGAGTAAGTAGTTTGCCCAAGCCATGAAGCAGATTAAGTGGTAAAGCCAGGTTTCAAACCTATTAGCTCTAAAGGTTTCTCTTGGCACCGATTATAATTTACCACCTTTCATGCATATAAGCATAA